GCGCCACCCCATGCCACTTCCCAATTCCCTGGCCCCCCCTCCCACTAGCCGCCATGCGGCCGCAAAGTCGCACGGCCGCGGGGTCGCAGACTTGGTCGCCGACGGCCGCCTCCGAGGGAGATTCGTAGATGCCTTGAGGTGAGGGGGTACGTCAATGCGATATGACGAGTTGTATGCATCACCTATCACCTTGAGAGTGGGGTTGGGGTTGCGCCACCCCATGCCACTTCCCAATTCCCTGGCCCCCCCTCCCACTAGCCGCCATGCGGCCGCAAAGTCGCACGGCCGCGGGGTCGCAGACTTGGCCGCCGACGGCCGCCTCCGAGGGAGATTCGTAGATGCCTTGAGGTGAGGGGGTACGTCAATGCGATATGACGAGTCGTATGCATCACCTATCACCTTGAGAACTTCCCAGGGTCCATAATAGACAAGTAGCGATTTCTAAGACACATTCGAGGGTTAATGTTTTTGACTTTACCCAAACCAAATCTCCTTCTTTAAATTGAGATGGTCGACGATGCTTATTTTTTTGTTCGATCATTTGGGTTTGGGCTTTCCAAATATTCTCCTTTACTTTAGCTATGTCTTGCTCATACAAAATTTCAAATTCTTGTGTTCCTAGGGGTAGTCGTTGGACTTGTTTCCTTGTCAAAACATAAATGGGATGTCTCGGCTTCCAACCTTTGTGAAGCATAAATGGGTGGTCTGCTTGTAACAGTGTGAACACTATTATTGCAGCGCTTGCAATCTTCGGTAAGTTCTTATCCCAATCAATTTGGTCGCGCCGAACATACATACGCAAACGTTGTTGGCACAACCTGTTTATCTGCTCAGTTTGGTCATTCGTTTCAAGATGTCTATCTAACGACATGGTCAATTTTGTGCTATATGCTTCCATCAGCTTTTGCCATTGCTGGCAGGTGAACTGTACATCCCTATCAGAGACTATGGTTTTCGGGAATCCGTACTCAGAAACCCATCGCATCTGGGACTTCTGGATAGCGAGTTTTATTCGGCCTTCCGATGGTAGAGGAACGAAATAGCATATTTAGAGAACCTATCAATAATGACCATTACCTGACTGTTTCCATTCCGACTCTTGGTGAGACTCACAAAGTCGATGGAGATGGACTCACCTGGTTCGCTTGGAATAGGAAGTGGTCGAAATAGTCCCAAAGCATTCTCGTTAGACGGTTTATTCCTTTGGCAGACAAGACAAGTTCTCACATAGGTTAACATATCCTCTTTAATTCCTTTCCATTCGAAAAACTCTCTCACATTGGCATACGTCTTCTTAAACCCAAGTGACCCTTAGTATCATGGCATTCCCCATAACCATACTTTTGATATCTTCTCTATGAGGAATGCAGATTCTTTCTTCGGTTTGATCAATAAAGAACAGCAAGCCACCAGTCATTCGGTACTCAAGAAAGAGTTCAGGGTTCTTCCGAAAGGTTTGAATGATAGGACTCTATATTGGATCCCCAACATACCCTTGTCGGATCCGGTCCTTCAATCAGTCCTGATGTCCAGGTAGGTAAGAATGGTACCAAAGAAATCAGAACGCCTGGACAAAGCATCATGAACAACGTTAGACTTACCCTTAATGGTCTTCAACTCAAAGTCAAACATGTTAATGAATGTAGACCATCTTACTAGCTTGCCAGAGAGTCGGGGTTGTGTCTTAATCCACTTTAGGGTCGAGTGATCTGAGTGGATCATGAAGTGTCTTCCAAGCAAGTAGTGTTTCCATGTGTCCAACGCTTCAACCAAGGCATACAATTCCCTTTCGTAGGTGGAGTTAGCTACCTTATCAGATGGAAGGCGTTTAGACATAAGCTCGATAGGTTTATAGCCTTTCCCATCATCCTGCTATAGCACAACCCCAATCCCAAACTGACTAGCATCAGTTGTCACATTGAAATGAAGTGATGGATCAACAATCTTCAAAACAGGGTAATGAGTTAGTGTGTATTTCAACTTTTTGAACGCCGACTCACAATCTTTATCTCATAACCAAGGTTGCTCTTTTTAAAGTAATTTCCTAATGGGTGCAGCTATAAGTGAGAAGTTCCTCGCGAACTCCCTATAACAACTCACAAGTCAGAGGAAAGATCACAATTAAGTGACAGTCTTGGGTTTGGGTCAATCGCTGATTGCTGTATTTTTCTTTTTCTCCTAGCCTTAGTCCTTGTTCATTTACTATATATCCATGATAAAATACCTCAGACTTAGCAAACTCTGACTTAATAGGGTTCAACTTATAGTTACCTTCTCTTAACTTCCCTAAAATTGATCTACCGCTGCCTAAACAGTTTATTCATAGACCTTTGAAAGGTTGCAGGGGCATTAGTCAAGCCAAAGGGAATAACAACAAACTCATAGGGCCCATACCTCGTTCAGAACGTCGTCTTGTATTGATCTTCAGGTGCCACCTTGATCCGGTGGTATCCTGACTTCAGATCAATCTTTGTTGAAGTATTGCAACCCTGCAGCTGGTCGAGAAGATCATCAATTCGAGGATGGGGTTCCGCATTCTTAATGGTTACGAAATTCAATCCTCGGTCGTCAATACACAGTCTAACTTCTCCTTCCTTTTTAGGTACGAATAGGACAGATGCACCATAGGGAGAGGAACTTGGTCGGATCCCTTGTCAATAAGTTCTTGCAATTGTTTTTTTGGTTCTTTTAGTTCCCACGGGGACATTCAGTAGATCGGTGCTTTGGGAATCTTACTTTCGGGAATGATCTCAATGGTGTGCTTTATAGCACGCTCATTTACTCTCGTTGGTTCAATGTGAAAGTCCTTATATTTAATAAGTAGTTTGTCAATAGGAGAATAGGATGAAGAACATTCACCTACTCATTTGATGAGTATTGTCATTACATCCTGTGCCAACTTTTTTTCCGTACCATACTTCGAAAAGCAAGAAGACTCATACAACAGAAAGACAATAATGAGTCAGAGCCCAACTTGTGAAATAGTTTAATTGACTCAATTTTAGATTTTCATCCCTCAATTTGACAATCTTGTCTTTAAACTTGACTTCTGAGTCGCCCTCCTTGTGCCAATCCATTCTTAGAATCATATCAAAAGACAATTTTTTTTCTACAAGAAAGGTTACTTCATGGAATATCCTTTTCCCTTCCTTAGTACGAAAATAACATTTCACACGTCGACGAACTGAGGGACAATTATCGTGCTTTTGTCGGTGAAGTGTCTTTTCTGAGATATCGGACCGCGTAGACCCAGGATCTAACAAGGCACCTACTCATGTACGCGTAATCTCTACATCAACAATCATTAACTCACCCTAAGACTTCGTTTTCTTAGCTCATGAACTTCGTAATGCAAAGAGTTCACAACCAAGTTCATCAAGGGAATCACCCAGTGAGACAAAACACAATACCTTTTCAGGGTGGTCTGGGTGATGGGCCGAAGAAGAGTCATCCTCTGCCTTGCGAGTTGGGGGCTTGAAAGGGGTTGTCTGCGCCTTTTGTCTAAACCCACCGACTCGGTAGGAGCAGATATTACTCCTACTGGCTGCTCCCTTTTGGGTTACGGATGAGGGGACACCATGCAATGTTGTGTCCCGCAGTGCCACATTTCAAACACTATTGGTTATCCATATGCTCCTGCCATTCACTTAGGGTCAGGCCCATCTTCTCCGAAGGCCGGCCAGAAGCAATGCCAGCATGCTCGGGGAAAGGGCGTGGCCTCCTCTTCTTATATTCACAATTTCGGTTGGTGCCACCCTTGTTGGCCACCACGGCGGTGACGTCGCCCTTTCCAGACTCACCGGCACCACTTGCTTCACCCTCTGCCTCTTCGAGGGGCCATTTCTCATCAGTCTCGTCATCGAAGACAATGAGAGTGTGGTCCTGTCGCTTTTGCCGCCACACGACTCTTTTCTCGTTCATGTACCCACCTATCTGTCCACTTTTCACAACATTAGCGTAGGTTCCCTTAACCTGTGAAGTCATCTACTCTCTTTGCAAAGCGAGATCCCTGAATTATCGGTAGCTATACGTACCAGACTTTGCTCCCACCACAACATGTTCATGTATGGGCTCTAGCAGTGCATGCAAGTAGATGCGCAGAACCTGGTTATCCTGCAAGTTCAACCAAGGTACCTGCAAAAAATGATCCACCTCACGTGACAAAGTCTCGACACTTGACCAATGCTTCTGATTGATCATGGTGAGTTCGTCAAATGCCTTATCGACACTCGTTTTGTCGAGGAATCTCTCCTTGATCTTTTGGAGAAATTCCCGCAAAGTCATTGTCTTTGCCCACTCACCTATATCTTCAAAGCCAGCGGTATTGGCCTCAGACAAAACCCACTCTTCTGCGACTTCTCCCAAACAAGACATGGAAAAGGCGACTAGGCTATCTTCGTCTATTGATGTGGACCCACAATACGTCTGGATGTCGGCAATCCATAACAACAGATGCTCCCCTCTTTTACCGTTATAAGTAAATGGCAGTCTCATTTTAACCTTTTCTTTTCTCTTTGGTTTTTCCCCTTCTTCCTTCTTTGGGCTTCTTTCTTAGCCGGCTCGGGTTCTTTCGGGTCACAAGATTTCATGGCATCTTTCATAAATTTTTTTGGAGGCCCTTTCTTCTTTTCTTTCTCCTCGGCTACCTCTTCTCGCGTGGCCTTATTCTTTCCTTTTACTAATCTGGTCACCGTCTGCAATTCTGCGGTGACGCTATCAATCTTGATTTCTCAGTGTGCGAGGTAAGCCATCATGTTTTGCAACATAGACGCCACGCCAGTTTCTGATTCCCCAACATTAAACTTATGTTTTATCTCTTCTATCTTTCTTGCCTATTGCTCTTATTCCCTTCACTGCCTCTGGTATTTTTCGTTCTTCCTTAATTCTTCGTCTAACGCAGCTTGCAACTATTTGATTGTGTCGTCCATAATTGCTTTAGTCAATTCTGGTTCCTCTTTCCTCTCACTTACTTCTCCTTTATCTTCTTCTTTGGCCTCTGCACCAGCTTTCTTCGCAAACTTTTCAGCAACAAAGCGATCGAGGGCCATTCGTCTTCAATCAATAGTATGTTGCACCCTTTCGGCAATCTCCAACATCTGAACAACAATTTCAGCCCTAGTGCGTTCGTCTTCTGCTGCTCGCAGAGCTCGCAGATCGAACTAGTTGCGTACGTGTTGTTCAGCGTCTGGCCCAGCGTCGTGCTGTTCAGTGAGCAGTTGGCGAAGACGGCCCAGCATTTGTTGTCGTCTCTCTTCCACGTGGCCATAGGTTCTCATTACTTCACCTTATTCATCAGCGAAGAAGGTGATCGATATGGGACAGAATGGAAGAGGAATAAATCAAGTGAGAATAAACGCACGCAAAAAGTTCCGTAGGTAGGTCATTTTTCCCAGTGTGTTTGCCGCACAATAAACTTAAACAACAATTATAAATTTCATGGCCACACTATAAAAACAATTCAATTTCCACGGCAAGAAATGAGAAATAAAAATAAATTACTATGGGAAACAAAATCTCAATTTCTTATATCTAACTCTGCTGGTTATTCTTCTGATGATGTTTTTCTATAGTCTGTACAGGTTTCGCAGCCACGGCCAGTGCGATCAAGACAAAAAAACAAAGGTGAGTTTGCAGTCATCCACATAACAGCCCACGACAGGTAAGTATCATCAATCAATCAGCAATACAACGATCAATAGTATTAGCTGATCTTCTCCTCACTATCCTCTCGCAGATGGCTGTATGTCCAGACACATGCTCTGACGCGTGGCACTACAGCATAGTCTCGTGTTGTACCGCCCGTCAGACTTCACAAGTGCAAGTATTTGTTCTCACAAATCTTCCTTTGGATGTCAGCGTACGTCAGATTTGCCACATGCCACACTCCAATCAAGCCAAAGTGACACATCATCAAGAGAGGTGCCCCGTCAGCATCAATAAACAATAGGCTGTCAGGAATGTGTGAGGATTGAGCCCTCAAGAAGGGGCCTTGCCATGATGTACATGTTCTGGGCTAAGGCCCCAGCAAGCCTTGTGCCCGCCCTAAGTGAAGGCGGGCCTGCAAATCAACAAGAGCCCTCTGTACAGACATTTCACGAAGTGGGGTCCATACAGTTGCAGCACGCCAGTTGGTTGGAGTGCACCGAGTCTCGGATTTCAGCAAATGCTGAAAACCCAGGGCCTCTGAGTTAGTTAGGCCCTGGGCACTTCAACGTGAGGCGGACAATGCATGCTGGGTATAGAGGCCGAAAATGCCAAAGGGAAATCGGCCCACTATCTGAATCTGGCCGCAGGCCTTGACGAAAGAGGTGCAACTGCATCCCCCGGGCCTCAACTGYATCGGGCCTGGGTTCAGCGACTGGGGCCCAGACGCAGGCTGAAGGGAGGCCGCCCACACGCAACACTGGCATATAGGCAAGCAGGGCGAGTGGGCAGGGATCTTGGCCAATGCGGGCATTGCCGGCACGCTGCGCGAATGCGAGCTGCTGCTGCGCTGCGCTGGGATGAGGTGCAAGGCAGGCAGGCGCTAGGCGGTAGGGCGCTGCCTGTGCACAGGGCGCTGGCGGCCATAGCCGGGCTGCATAGGGCGCAGGGGAGGTGAGGGCGAAGGTGGTTCTTCGGAGGAGAAGGGCGCTGTGTGGGTAACAAGGGAGAGTGTGGGTGAAGAGGACACGTACCTGGTGAAGGTGGAGGTCGGCATTGGTGTTGACATCATCACTCGCTGGTAGTCAAGTTGTCTGGTTGCTTCATTGCTGTAGTTGTAGGTTTAGGCTGTAGAGTAGATAGGGCGCCTGGCGCCATTCACAAGAGAGAGCTACATTGGGTTATGCTGTTGGTGTTGCCCTGTTGGGCTTGGACATTGAATCACGATTCTTCTGTATCATTCTCAAATGGATGGTTACTCGGTTCCATTGTGCTATCTGCTTTGGCTTTGACTACATGGACCTCAGTGTGATTTTGCAATCTGGATTTCTGTGCTTCATCCATATTCATGTTCCTTGCAAATGGAGATGCTTCGCAACCACGTAGGCAGCAAGAGACTGCTCAAGCCATAGGTGTCCACTGGAATGTCGACTTCAATATGTCACGTCAACCTGGTGTGCTGCTGCTTTTTCGGAGATGCCACGTCAGCAGGTCAGTGGCCACGATATGCAGATAGCCATGTCAGAGAGTACCCATTGTTCAACAGGTGCCACATCAGCACTGTCGCACAATGCCACCTCACTCCCACGAAGCCACATCAGCAGCTCTCTCTCTCCCTCTCTCTCTCTCTCTCTCTCTCTCTCTCTCTCTCTCTCTCTCTCTCTCTCTCTCTCTCTCTCTCTCTCTCTAGTTGCCCGATGCCACGTTAGTGTTCCCTCCAACGATCACTCCGCCAACTGCCCAGCCCCATGTCAGCATTCCCGCAGTGATCTTCAAGTCCACGTCATCAATATCATTATCATCAGATTCGTGCGCGTGCGCAGAGGAACCGTGCACAATACTACAAGAGCGTGATGGCAGATGCGCGCACGTTTAATGAAACATATATATCAAAACGCGCGGAGCGCGCGATTGGGTGTGCAATTTTGATACCACCGCGCGATACCGTGCGCATGAGCAGATAGCGACGACTGGAGGATATCGCTATGATACCAAACTGCAATGAACCCAATCAGGAGAGAAGCTCGTCAATGTCGAAGTACAATATGTTTCAGCGCAGTTTCAATGTCTCCAAAATCATACATGTTATGACCCTGACCAATTTCGAGATACACATCCACTGGAAAGTACAATGCCATCCAATTGCAGAAAGAAATGAATGAACTTGAGAGGTGAGAGAGGAGTAGAAGAAGAAGAAGAAGATGTACACCAGCAAGGACAATGACAAGGCTCTTCTTCTTCGCCCAACAATCTCCTCCTCCTTATCTCCCCTTTCTCTTATTCATACAAGAAATAATAATACAATGTTGAATGACTGGTCCAGAATCA